ATTGAGCCAAAGTCCAAAGTCTACTCTTACCACTCATGTTGTGGTAGACTTCATGTCGAAGATGCGCCAGATGCAATTGGCACGATTCCCCACTCTAGGTGCTGCCATCAGCACCATCATCAGTTCAACATCATCCCTCTGTGAAGAGCCAGAGTTCATCCATATCATACTGGATTCCTACATTGATATGTCTCTGAAGGAGGGGGAGTGCGTGCGGCGTACAGATTCAACAACTGGCACTGACATCATCAACATAAACAGAGACACACCCATCCCTCAACAACTAGACAAGTTCTGGGCATCTGAGGAGAACAAGCAAAATCTCCAGCTGTTAGTTCGGGACATGGTGTGCAATCGAACCTGTGGCGATGCTACCATCCTTGTCAGCTCTGTTGTCTCCTATGATGAGGTGCTTCCAGCAAAGGCGGCTGGTGGTGAGTTCCCAGACCTGTTGAACTGGATCGAGGAGGCTGACACCAGGCTGGTGGTGCACGTGGAGTGGGCTGTCTGTGTGCAAGAGAGTACTTGTAGTGTCCAATGATACAGACACCTTCGCATTGCTGCTACACTTCACCCCATACTTCCAAGCACTGGGAATGGAGGAAATCTGGCAGCAGTATGGCACTGGTGAGAAATGACGGATGCTTCCGCTGCATCAAGAAGTTTCCAAACTAGGAGTATCACTGGCCAAGACCGTGATCAAGGCACATATACTGACTGGAGATGACTGCATGAGTAAGGTGGGGACCAAATATGCAGCATTGGCCTCTGACCCAGTGCAGTATCTGACCAACTTTGGGGAAGCGGACACCTTGTCAGAGCAGGACACAGAACTAGCTGAGAAGTACTTAGTACAAGTTTGGGCAGGGGCCAGGTCAAGTATGGCTGCTGAGACGTTTGATGATCTCAGGGTAGAGATCATAAACTAGTGACACTGCTGGGATTGATGCCCTCCCTCTTACAACTAGTGTTATCAGAGGCCATATCCAACGAGGTGCCTTTCTTGTGCACAGGGCATGCAAACTGCCTACAACAGCCAAAGGGGAAAGAGAAGAACCTCTGGAACATGGATGGGAGGAGAACCTTGGCACACTCCTGCCATAAAAATGTATGAAGCCCTTACCACCGAGTCTACTCACAACATGCAAATGTGCAGGCAAGTGTGACACCCGACGCTGTGGCTGCTGTGCTACAGGAGTTTGCTGCACTATATTCTGCCACAGAAAAATAGACAGTCCATCTTGTAAAAATGTATCATACTAACTTGTACACAATTACAATATAGTGCGCTTAATTGACACTTTTGTTTGATTTTGTGTCATAATTTAATTTTATATCAGATTTTTCTCGAGATGCTCTTTGCAAAGTTCAACACCTCATTATAATATGACAATAAAAGTAAAAGAGGGGAAGCAAATGGTTATAATTTCTATAATTCCCATGTTCATGTCTCTGAGAAATTGTTATGAAAAATGTGAATAAAAGTGAAAGTACAGAACAAAATCTTAATTGATTTATTGACAGATGACATAGGCATGGGCATGTGATGTGGGTATGTTATTTTTGTCTTTTTCAAAAATAGGGCTGCCATCTATGAGGTTAGAGGGTGGTTGGTATAGCAGAGGGTGGTTGGTATAGCAGAGGGAGGTCCACATTGTAAACGTCTTGACTCTAGTATGTCAAGATAGAAAATACATTTTCTTTTTTTTTCTTTAAAGATATGTTTTTGAGCATTTTGGATAGGATAGCCAAGTGTGAAAGGGGAACAGAGAGAGAGGGGATGACACGCAGCAAAGGGCCACAGGCTGGACTTGAACCTGGGCTTCTGTGGCAACAGCCTTGTACATGGGGCGCCTGCTCTATCCACTAATCCACCGACGCCCCAGAAATACATTTTCACCTGTCTCTATCCAATGTTTAGATATGTGGAATTTATGCTAATTAGCACATACTTAATTAGATTATGCACCATTTGCCCTTGTACACAAACATTTTTAAAAAACTTCCCATACATTTTTTGTTTGTCTTAATGTGAGTAATCAACTCTGTAAATTTCATTGTGATATCTGTTGGTTAAATTTTTTACCTCATTCACCATGGCAGCCATTTTTGTTTTGGCCACGGCGGCCATTTGCCCACTGTGGCGGACAAGCACCTCCGTGATTTTTCATGTCTAGGGACCCCTTGACTTAGTCCAAGTGAGAAATTGTGTCAACCACAAATTGCGCACAGGACGACATGGCAGGTACAGGACTATTGGCAGTTACACCTAGAGTAAAGCTACTGAAGACCAGCAAAATGTTTTCATTTATTCTTTCAGGTGGGTAAATGTCACCTAAGCACCTTCAGATTTTATCAGTAGTGTTCCCTTAATAGATAATTTGTTTTTATGGTTTGTATTGTGCTTCGTGATATTGTTTAAGGGAACTGTAACGTAAGGTTACTGCATACGAGTGGATGCAACTGTCACTAATGCTAGCGTAGTTGCTCAGGGATTTAAGCTGTTACTACTTTCATTTTGACACTCTCACCTGTGACAACACATTAGCTAAGGCTGTAAGGACTGTAACTGTTGGTAGCTGTTGTTGATTTTGTTAAAATATGTTGAATTGTAATTTTATGGGTTATTGTTTGTCGGACGATTGAGCTAGATAGATAGATATTGTTTATTGTCCTTTCGGAAATTTTTCTTGTGTCTGTGGCCGTCAGACAAAACAGAAAAAACAGAAAAAGACATTACAATGAAGACACCACAACACAAACACTTGACACTGCAGACAAAACCCTCAGACAATTCATAACATTGCACATTACAATAAAGACAATTTAAACATCCATCAAACGATACAACAAACACAACCAAAGTGTCCACATAGCATCACCCAGGTTCACCCATTCTATTTAACAAGAGTTATGCTAAAAGGTATAAAGGACCTCTGGGCACGGGAAGTCTTAAGAGGCGGCACTCTGCACCTCTGTCCTGATGGTAATAATTCATACTCGCTAATACATCAGCGATCACATTCACACCTTACAGTTATCAGTTAACCCAATCCCCAATCTGCATGTCTTTGGACTGTGGGAGTAAGCTGGAGTGCCTGGAGAGAACCCACGCTGACTCAGGGAGAACATGCAGGCTCCGCACAGAAGTGCTCCCACACCCGGGATCGATCGCTTGCTGTGAGGCGACAGTACTTATCACCACACCACCCCTTCCCCAAAAAATGTTTGAGTTTATTAAATACCTGCAGAGATGCAACCGCAGTAGAAAAGATACGTGCGTCTCCCCACTGTGCGCATTTATGCACGAGACACAGCAGCCTAACTTCATTAATTAGCCTATCAGGATCTAATGTGAATTAATGTTCTGTGTTCTTCTACACATCCAAAAGGTCACACACAGTTCAGGTTCATACAGTGAAACTGTTTGGAGTAAAGCAGCGTCCTCCTGATAAATCCTGAGCTCCACTTCAGAAGCTAAAAGTTTAACTTCATGTTTCATAATACAGATGATTGGTTTAAATATCATAGTATAAATGTCCTTTATGAAATTAAGACTGTGTACAGGTCTGGCAGAAAATATAACAGTAGCCTACTGCTAATTCTCAAACAGTTTCAGTTGGACGCTGCATCTCAACTGCTCACATGTGCCACCTGCTGGTTGTTGTTGCGCACTGCAGCTACTCCTGGATCAATTATTTCACACTAAAATTTACAAGATTAAAAAAAGAAAAGTGCCGGAGAGGTTAGAAGCCACTAAAAGCTTATCAAAGAAATTCCCCTGTCAAAACATCAATGAAATCACATAATAGAGAAGGAAAAAAAACGGGTAAGGAAAGAAGAAATAGAGGAGGAGAGAGGGAAAAATCAAGACAACACAAGGGAGCAAATAAAATGATGTGTAGGTTAAATGACTCATCACTGGTTCAAGTAGCTACAGTACCTGTACCTGTACATCTGACACTGATCACACCCTTGAATCCCATGAAATCAATGCTGCACAGATGAACTGCGTGTATTACAATTATCATCTAACATCATTGCGTCTGATAAATTGGTCTTCTTTGTCATAACATTATATATGCTACAATAAAGCTTAAAGCTGACGCCACAATTAAATCATATCAACACCAAATTGATAGTCTGAATAAAATCATCCTGATATTGAGCTGTGTTAGAAATTAACAGCTGCACAAAAATATAGCTAGTGTCCCTCTTTAAAAAACAAAAAGGAAAATCCCTCAAACACCATGAAGTGTAGACATGATAGGCTACTTTCCACATTTCCAGCAGCAAAGCTGTCAATTAGGCCCATTATCTTTAACAGGGATCATTTCCTCCAACAAAACAAAATGTTGGCACTAATTAATGGTGCTATTAAGTGTCTGCAAATGATCAGTTTCTTTCTTATGAAGGGGTGGGATGAAAGTTCCACTTCTTTCCACTCCTTTTTGAACAATCTTTTCATTGTCTGTTGTTGTTGCTTTCTTTTCTTTTTTAATGTTCAAAATAAACTTTCAAATCAAAATCAATCAAATGAATTAAACTTCCCGTCATGACTGGGCTGCATTTCTGTCAGCCATCAACAGCTGATTGGCCAGTGGGTGGTGCTTTTTATAGGATCAGATTCAACCCTGAACTTACCCTGCTCCGGAGCAGGATAGCCGTTCAGAGTAAGTTACCATGGTGATCTACCCCGATAAGAACTGAACCGGCTTCGTGAGACCGAAAACCCAGAGTTAACCCTGAAGTTACCTCGCTAAGACATTAATCCTGCTTCCTGATACAGGCCCCAGGTGCATGTCCGACATCAAAGGTGTCAATAAAGTTTATTATTATTATTATTATTGTTGTTGTATTGAAACCGTAGGCTAAATAAACAGAATCGATTGATCAGTTATTGATCCATAGTGTCAGCGGGAGCTTTGTGTCGATGATGATGAGTTGTGTGTGTGTGTGTGTGTAAATAAAAGAAAGGAAACTTGTGACATCACGGGGTGACTTCCGCTGCGGAAGCCGCTGCTGCATGTAAACAAAGCGGAGTTAGCAGCAGCTGCTCTGATGGACACAGACCAACCTTAATCGGATAGCCGGTGACTGAGGTTCAGTTTGTTCGTGTGTGTGATGGAGCTCCGCGGTGACTGAACCGGAACCGGCAACATGTCCATGGAAGACCCGTTCTTCGTCGTCAAAGGGTTAGAACTCTTTACAGCATGCTAACACAGCTAATGCTAACAGGAGCTAACGGCTATAGTGCTAGACTGCGGAGACCTGATAGCTAATCGATAATCAATACAACCTCAGAGACAGAACAAATTTAACTGTGTGTTTTAACAGAAACTCACGAGCTGCTTGTTAACGGTTAACTGTGACGTCAACTCTCAGTTAGCCTGTTAGCATGTTGCTATGATCTTAGCACAGAGTCAGTGATGGTTACAACACATGTAAATCGGTCTGTCTGTCTTTATACATAATCAATAAATTCATATAGGCCTATATATATATATAATGATACATACATACACATAGAAAAATATATAAATTAGTAACTGAACATGTCTGAATGAATATGTGACATGTTGAGTTCAGTAAATTTTGCAGTGAAATGTCAGATTAAAGGATTTATATCTTGTCTGTGAATGATGTTAATGATATTGATATTAATATTGATGTTATTGACAGTAAATATGTTATTATTAATGATGTCATATCAACAGCAGCTGTGGCGTTTTGTAGAGGAATCTATCAGCTGATCATTTTAAAGGGTTGTAGACTGAATCACTGTGACAACGCACAAACAACAACAGTGATAACTTCCAAGTAGAAAACTGACAGGTGGAGCTACACTTAATAAAATAATCCTCCTGATGCCTGGTTCACACCACACGACATTTCTGTGTCAGATCAGGTAACACACTGCCCGTGACCTGACCGACAGACATGACACACTACAGGATGGTCCACAAGCAATCATCACTGGTTGTCTTTCACTACTCTGTGGTGTCATCAGGTTATTCTCGTTCTATTCTCATTTATATTTCAGTCTCTGTGTCTGTTCATGTTTCAGCTGAACTCTTACTGTAGTAAGTACCGCATGAAAACTATAGCTCTGTCCCAATTCAGGGTCTGCATCCTTCGGAGGACGCGGCCTACGCAGCTATTTTGTTTATTTAATTTACTTTTTGTAAGAGGAAGAGGAGAGGCGGCTCCAGCGACACTGGCAGCTCGTTTATCTCCGGCTGGGAGAGAGCCGTGGGGAGGTAAACCATTTTAACCCACATTAATGTTCATATAGCTAGCTAGCATAGTTCGTGGTAATCAGTATACCTGTTAATAAACGATACCGTTAAGTGACAAACGCTAGCTATATGTGGTTAATGTCATTTAACCAAAAAAATGTATACGAACCCTGTAAATAGCCCTGACTTAATTTCAATATTAAAATGTTTTGTCATTACATCAAAACCATAGTGGGAAGCCAAAGTGGATAGATGGACAGATAAAGCATTATTTATCCAAGCTATAGCTTTAACTAGAATTGTCTTATTAACTAAAATTAAATAGCTATTGTTGCTTTGATCATTTATATACTCCTGTTCTTACCCTCCTTTCCCCATCCAGACCAGGCCCCTGTACTGCAGAATAAACCTGGCTGTTCTGGTGCTGCAAAACGTCTTTAATCATGGTGACACAAGGCAAGATTTCAGGCCGAGCAGATTCCCTGGAGGTGCTGCCGGACACGTTTTACATAATTTTATATTTGTTCTCTATAAATAGTGATTTCTACTGATCTTTTGTAAATAGTTGTACATGTTAAGAATGCCCACTTGTAAACTTGTAAATAATTAGAAATGTTCAGATTGTATCTTTGTAAATACTTGGTTATCAAAGCAAAAAAATAAATTGTGTTGTCACTGAAGAGTAGATCAAAAGTTTACTCTAGTTGTAAATAAGAAATGGAACCAATAATGTATAATCCCTCCTGTCGCTGGCCCTGGATGCCTCTCCTCATCCTCCTCATCCTCCTCCTCATGCTGCTCACCCACTGCAGCACCTGGCCCTGGTGTGTCCTCAGGGATGGAGGCAACAGGACAGGTGGGGCAATGGAAGTCCTCTGTCCTAAAACCTCATCCATGAGGACAAACCAGGGCCAGGTGGCAGCAGTGGGCTTCCTGCTACCCCCTGCCCTGTCCCTGGATCTTTGCATTCCTAAGGCAGAGGAAATCAGTCACAACAGCAGCAATTTTCTACAAAGTATTTATTAAAAAAGTCTTGAAAAAGAAGTGCATCATGGACCCAAACAGAGGTATGTTTGAGGTGCTCTTTGGAATGGGATTCATGTAGTGATAAAGAAATGAAGAAAAAAACTCCAAAGCACTCTCCTAAAGCAGTTAAATGCCTTTATTCTTAAGCCATGGTTATATAAACCTTAAAAACACAGTCCTTCAACACGTTTCGGCATCAAGCCTTCATCAGGAAGTTAAACAGATTCAAGGAATAAAGAATAAGTAAGGGATAATGTATAATGAGCCGGTGAATACTGGGAAAATAACTCCTGGCAGTTACGTCGGGAGTTGTTTTCCCAGTATTCACCGGCTCATTATACATTATCCCGCTTATTACACGGCTAATTATCAGTTAAATAAATAATTTGAGACAGAATATTGATTAATTATACAATTTTTATTGATTTATAAATTAAATCGGGAGGAGAGAAAAAAAAAACTGCCGGCAACGGCTGAATCTGCGCTACAGTAGCTACAGGGAATCAAGAGAAAATGAAAAGAAACTAGCCTCTCTTTTCCATGTGCCTCTGAGCATCCCTCTTCTCCAGCATTCTTCTCATCTTCAGACAGTAACCATGACTCAAGATTTTCATGCTCACCAAATATGTTAAAAGTTATATCATGAAAATACTCCATCTTTGTATCTTGTAAATTATTATTTTGAAGCAGTGACGGCTATGTTAGCCCAATAAAAAAGTAACTGTTGTCAGGGAAGTGTCCCTAGCAACGCTGGGCTACATAGCAACGGTCATTACACAGTAATATCAGACCTCTGAATGCCGCGACTGACCAATTAGAATACAGCATTTAATAGAGCCGTGTAATAAGGCCATTTTAATTATATGGGAGAGTGCCTTGGAGTTTTTTATACGTTTCTTTATCAAAGTATTACCTTGGGTAAAACAAATGTAGTTTCCATATCATTATCCAAACCTGCACGTACTTTATTTTTATTTTTTCAAGTTGTCCCACGTTTTTTCACCTGTTGAGGTTCCAATTTTCCCTCCTGGCCCATTTTTTGAGGGATTGTTCTAAACAAGAGAGAAGCATGACAGAAGGTCAACACACAAGATCACATTATCACAAATATGTAAAGATTCACAAAAAGTGACATCAGGACAGACATAAAACTCCCACCCCCACCCAAAAACAACATTCACTTATTGTGTTCTTAAGATTATATTTGTACTTTGGTTGCTGTACAGGATTTGGTTTAATTTAAGTAACCTTTACATACAAATATGTATAGAGTACAAATGGGCTATTTATTATTGCCTTAACAGGTACCTCCATCCGAGTGTGGCTGTATTCTTGGCCCCTGTGAACAGGTGGTCGTTCTCACCACAGAGTTTTATAAACTCCTCCGTTTCCTCCTTGCTCCCTACAACAAAATGAAATGTAAGACATATTTTCTGTTATGTTAATGGGCAAAATTATATTTATATATATATATATATATATAT